TGGTATGAACCGTTACGTGAAAAAGCAGAGATTAACCTCAAATCACTTATGAGGCCCCTTCCTCTAGCGCCAAACTGTTGTTATGCGATTTTTAACAACGATGTAATGTGTGATTAAGTGGATAATTTTGAATGATTTGGACGTAAAGCATGTAGGATTAAATCAGCAATGGCCTCGGTCCAGGGTGAACCGAGGTGAAGAGCCGTGATGGGCTTTTACGTGTTGCTTAGTAACGTTTTTTCAGTTCGGAGAGAGATCTCCCTACAAATGTCATGGGTCCGCTATTTATAGTATTTTCGGGTTGGTACATTGGGATCTGTGCATTACTTTTTCGAATAAAGTGACTTTTTGTGGGCGGTTTGAAGCAAGGGGTCCCACATAAATGATGACGGATCTTGTGGAGCAGGAGGGTTGTTCGTAGGCACCTTGTCACCTGCTTAAGGAGGTGACGATCTCGGTTCATGTTGACCTCGGTAGATGTTGACCGCTTCGGTCTTCGGTAGTTCGGTCCGGTTTGTCGCCTGAACCGGGGTGGTGTTTGAAATTACATCGGTTCAATGATCATCTTCCGTTTAATGTGTCGTTTGGAATCTCTTAATGCAGGTTTACCGATCCGGATGATAACAAGTTCATTTTTTTGATTTAGATAGTTTATACAAAAATAAATTTATTTTAATTAATAGAACAATATAAATTCATTTTAATAACTAAGTTTGCCTCGAGGGCGTAAGGTCAAGTGGTGACTAGTGGAGGGTGAAACACCTTTGAAGCTAGAAGTCACGGGATCGATCTTCACTATCGTGAGGAGTGTGAGTGAAACATTGCAGTTTTCCTAGGAAGATTAGTCCACCCCTTTGCGTGATGATCCCTTAGGCGTGATAGCCCTTTACCGTGAGTTGATGGGCTGCAGTGGGTGGTGAAACCGTGAAGTGAATGTGGGGATACCTCACAGTCAACAAAAATAATAATAATAAATAAAAAGTATAAGTTTTATAACATACTTATAATTCACATATATTTTTAAATATAAGATAAAATTTTACTAAAACAATTATTTTATGGAATACATTGTAGTTAAATCAAATGTATGAATAATTTTTTTTTTTAAAATGACACGTTTTTTTTAAAACGAATATAACGTAATTTATTATCACTTACATCCACCGTACGGTAGTGTACTAATTTTAGATAGACGTGTTTTATGTCATCTTACAAAATTTAAATTTCATATAACATTTTAATAAATTAATATTGATAAATATTAGTTAATAAACATTTTTAGTCCATAAATATTATTGAATTTTTTTTATGCGTGCTCTTCCTACAAGATATTCTTAAAAACAAGGAATAGAAAACCAAAAATCCGTATTATGCAAAAAAAAGAAAACACACCTAAAACAGAAAGGGATGGAGTGTATTTAATTATCAATATTATCATAATGAATTACTTCTTTTTTTTTTTTTTTT